GGGCTAGGCTGAGGAAGGCTGCTCTCGATGGTGCTGTTGCCATAAGCCCCTCATTGCATGCTGCAAGACATGTGTATCGATCGCACTCACTCTTGCGTTGAATAACAAAGTGTGGTGTCAGTCGCAACCTAAAAAGTTGCTCCGCCCTTTTCTCTTGAGCAGTGCATCTTTCATTTGTGCCCCCACCGGTACAAAAGTTACGGTGGCCGTAGGTTTCCCAGGTGGCCCCCGGCCCTGGTGCTGACCGGATGTCGTCATGGTTAGCTTTAGCAAGGCTGCTGTGCCTTGAGTCATAGAGTCACCTGCTCCTTGCTGCCCCTCTTCTCACTGAGTGTTGGTTCCGCAGGTTGCTTAGAACTGTGGGAGAATATGGGACCTGAGTGGGATTTAAGAGAAGGCGCTTACAGCTGAGATCAGGGGTGCTGTAGCCATAGGGTATCTTCCTTTAAGTGAGCTGTTTCTTCAAGCATGGGAGCCCTAGATAAATCAAGAAGGATACCACAGTTCAGACCTTTTTTGCTTTCTCAAATGGGAGATTTAAAACCAAGCCAGATCCAACACTTGACATTCCCTGGGACTCTGACACTGCTGTGCCACCGGTGGGGGTCATGGAGCCTGATCTGCTTTGACTCTTAGCCTTCAACGTTGGTGAGGAAAACCTGCTGCTATCAAATCTCCAAAGGGTGCACATCTTCTACCCACTGTGTTTAGCCACATGCTCCTTCCCTTTCCCTTTCCCTTCCAAGGGCAGATCGTGTCATGTGCACATTTTAATCCTCTGCAAGTAACCATTAAAATATTCCTGTTATTATCTAGCGTTTGTATACTGCTTTCAAGTGTTTAAGTGCTTTATGTATATTATCTTGGGTTGAGATGGGAGGGGGCAGAGACTGAGAGAAGGGTGGCTTCCATAAGATCTCCTAGTGAGGCAAGAATGGTAAGATTTGAATCAAAGACTTCCCAATTCATAGCCAAAACTAGACTATCTGTAAATAAGGGCGTTAGTTATACCTAAATTCCTCTATTGTTGTATATAATACAAGGAAAGTAACCACACCAAGCTATAGTAGGATCGCATGCCCACCCCTGCATTCACGTCCTCTGCCTCCTACAGCCTTTACCAACCTGGTACCCTCCAGGTATTTGGGACTACAGCTCCCTTTCCCCCTGAGCTTTGCCCATGTTGGCTGGACCTGATGGGAGTTGTAGTCCAGGACATACCGTAAGTTACCCTGTAACCCAGACCAGCTGGGATGATCTTCCTGCTCTACCCGCTACCTCCTGCTGTTTTCTCCTGTGTTAATTTTTAGAGTGTAAGCTCTTCGGGGCAGGGTCCCTGTCCTCTTACTCAGTCAGGTCACAATCCCATCCTTCACACAGACTGAGAGCCTTTGCTTTAATATGGTATCTTCCAGCAAGAAATTGCAGTGATGCCGGGAGCTACCAAGTGTCCAGAAAGAGGAGCTTGGTCTCAGCTAGTGGCGAGGGTGGGTGGAGTTGTGGGATATCCCAGGTAGCTCTGTGGAGGATGCATGAAGCGGGGGAAGGGACTGGCATCTCTGTCTGTTTTGGGATTTGGGAGGAGGGAGGGAAGGAAATGGGCACACATCAGGAAGGGGTGGGGCTGAGGCTGGGGCTGGATTCTGCCGGGAAGCCATTGTGGCCCGAGGGGGCTTGAGCAAGAGCAGCCAGCCTGGTGTGTGTGGGAATGGCATTGCTTGCCTGCAGATGGAAGAAACATGATGTGAGCAGATAACTGGGGAAGGAGGCTGAGTGTGGGAGGAGGGCATGAAAGCAAGGAGGGGGGCTGATTTTGTTGGCTCTGGAGAAACGGTCAAGTAGCTGCAATTGGAGTTAAAATCCCTGAATCCTCCCTTCAGTTGTGTATTGGGCTGGGAGTGGGTGGGATGGGAAAGGAAGGGCACAGATAAAAGTTACAGTCAGGAACTTTGGGCCCCATCCTGTCCTGCCCCCCCCCTTTACCTGAGCTTCTGCATCCTGCCTACCTGCCTCTTCATTGCTTTTTCATCTTTGCTGTGGGACCTGAGTGGGGAGCTTTCTCCCCCATTCCCCCACCCCCAAGGATATTGGTTCTTAGTTTGAACTTTTAATGAGGCACAGATCAAGCAGAGGAGAAAGACTGGGTTATGGGGCAATTACTTAAATAGCAGCCTCCACCCACTCCCCAAGAAGTGTGGTTCCTTAAAGGCTGAAAGACTCCAAAGCTTCATGTACTAGAGCCTGCTTCATCTGCATGCGATAAAGAAGACAATAGCCTTTTTCAGGCTGTTAAAATGCCATGGAACTTCCACTGGGGTTTGCTTTAACAAAGCAAGGCTGTGATCCTGTGTGCATTTCACTGGAAATGTGACTATTTGTGCTGCAACACAGCCACCCTGCTGGGGTTTGATATAGCCCAGTTTTGGGCCAGAATCTTTGCTTATAATCGGCCAAGGTCAGTGTGACAAGACGGGTCACCCGGGACTGGCTGACATTCTCAGTCTCTCCGCTCCTAGCCAGGGATGCTTCTAATCTCTTTTGTATTGGAAATGAGACAGTTAAGGGAGGATGGGGAGGCTCTCCCAGAGCAATCTCCCAGCCTATTGAGGTAGGCAGAGTGGGCCTCAGCAAGGCCATTAGGTCAGGGATCTCCAGAGACTGAATGCATCCGATTACTTGAAGGGCGGGGGGGGGGGGCAGAGGGGGAAAGACTCAGCAGTTGTTCCAAGGGGCTGAAGATGAGCTTTGTCTAAGGTAAGTGAGCTGATTGAGGCTTTGCCACAGGTGAAATTGGGCCAGCTGTTTTGAACTCTGCTTAGCTAAGGACAGCAAGAGCTTCTACAAGCTGCATTGGGACATTATTACATGGGTATTTTGCCTCCTCCAGGGCAGCTTCCACGGGGCTGCCGTACCTCCAACTTCTTTTATTTTCCCAACAACCTCGTGAAGTATGTTAGGCTGAAAGACAGTGTCTGATCCAAGGTAACCTTGTAAACCTCAGGGCTGAGTGGGGATTCAGACCTCCCAGTCCTAACCCACCGCTTGAACCCTTTTCATTACACTGCTGTGGCATCAGTCTGCACTAGCAAATGCGCTTAATACTGGTAGTTCTCATTTTTTCCACACTACACACACGAACACCTTGAAATCGCAGTGACCCTTGTGAGGTGTGTGATAGGGCTGGAGATGAGTGGGAGAAACTGGTCCCTCCTGGTCAGCGTCCCCATACTGTTGGAGTCAGACTGTGAGATTCTGCTCACCCCGTGCCTTTGTCTTCAGGCCGTACAGTAGTGAAGCCCATCGTCCCCTGGGATTCGGAGGATTCTCAAGAAGAGTTCCCAGCCCCCTGGGAGGTCATGCTGGGGGCCACGGAGACAGCTGAGCAAGACTCCTTGCTGCAGCGCAAGTCGGCCCGGCGCTGCGTCAAGCAGAGGCCCTCCTATGACATATTTGAATCCTCTGACTCGGATACAGAGCCAGTGTCTGGCTCAGCTACACATCGTCGGAAATCCTCCCGGGATTCAGGTGAGACACAAGCTTCGGGGCTTTTTCTGCCTGTGACTACCACGTAGCCACTTCTGCAGTTCCTACATATGCTGTTCCTGAAAACAAATATTTTGCTTGCATGCCTGCACACTCGAGAAGCTGTGGCCAGGTGCAGGTTCCCAGTGTGCACATCGGATTGGCACGTGTGTCTTGTTAATACAAATATGTGCTAATAACTGTCTTGTCAGTTGATTATTTATAAGCCTCTTTGGAAGCCTGTTTGGCTGAGGAGCAGCATAAAAATAATTCAGTCAATCAGTGCATTCGTATCGGCCTTCCCAGACCTGATATCCTCCAGATGTTTTGGACTGAAGCACCCAGCATTCCTGCCTGTTAGCCATGCTGGTGGGACTGAATGTTTGGAAGGCACCAAATTGGGCAAGGACTGACTTCTCCATACAAGTCTCATTGTATGTGTGAAGTGGCCTTTGTTTTGTAGCAGCTAAAGCCATAGGAAGTGCGTGGTAGACCGGGTCTCCCTCACCCCACTAAAAAATCACCAATGGCTCCAGTGTATGCCTTAGGTGAGGCTTCTGATGAGACCTGGCAGGAATACTTTCCTGCCCCGTTCAAGCAGCTTCCCCGCTACAACACTGCATAATGGGCTCTATGATATAGAGGCCGGCTGATTTGCTCTGCTTTCCTGAGAAGTAATGAGATCCTTGTCCCATTTAGCGTTGATGAAAGAAGCTGACTGGGAAGGAAATGCCTTGTTGACCTGCAGTCCCCTCCTCTGTTTCCAGATCTGCTTCCCATGGACTCGGAGGAGCAGAGTCGCCCCCGCAGAACCCCCCTTCAGCCAGTGGTGCAGCTGAAGGCCAGAAAGAAGCCAGAGAAGGTGAGGCTTCTGCAAGGGGCGTGCAGAGGGAGGCAAAGCCCAAGTTTTGAAATTGTAATCAGTTTTATAACCCAGGAGCCTTGGCGTGGGGCAGTATCTGCCTGTGACGCAGGACTGCAGAGCTCATGGATTTTCATGCTTTGTGAACACTCAGTGAACACCTCCTGTGGGTAGGCTGAAGGCTGGTTGTCTTTCTAACTGAACTGGTTGTCTTTTGGAACAAGGCTGTGAATGGCTCTACCTCAGGGATGGGAAAATCTGGTCCTCCAGATGCTGCTGGACTTGCAGTTCCCATCATTCCTGGCTGTTGGCTGGGTTGGCATTGACTGATGACCATTGCAGCCCAACGTTCTCTGGAGAACTCTACGCTTCCCGTGGCTCTCCTGCACCAAAGCTAGAGCAGAATCCCCAAAGTAGCTCATCTTTTGCTGCCTTTCAGAGTGCTCAATGAAGCTGATTTATTTCAGTGAGTACTAGGTTGCTCACTTTTATATGGTTATTTGGTCCCCTTCTGTGTGTGCATTTACTGCTTTTAACAAATTGGCTCACATGTAAACAGCTTCTCTCAAAAGAAAAGCAATATATAAATGCAAGCAGGACCGACAGTGAAATGTTGCAGGGATGAAATGTTTTTGATCAGTGTGGCAGGCAGCCATGCCTTCTTTAAGATGGCTCCACTGCACTCTTCCCCCTTATCACTAGTTTTCTGTTTTATCCAGGAAAGACATGCAGCATTCTGTGCCTGTTGGGCATGCTCAGTCCTCACTGAGCTGTTTGGGGTTCACCTCACCCTGCCATTTAGGATGTTCTTCAAAGTGTGCGTGTTTGCACTTCTCTAAGCGTTTTAGGTTTGCCCAGATTTGTTGATCCATCTCTTGTGTGTGCGGGATATGTGTGTGTGTGTGTGTGTGTGTGGGAGACGGAGAGGGAGAGGGAGAGAATGGACCTGAGAGAGAGAGAGAATGGACCTGCACTGAGAGAACGAGCTCTCTGTCAACATATTGCAAATGTTTTGGAGCTTCTTTCAGCCCAATAGCTGAATTTCAATTTCAGGAAAGGAAAGGGGGCAAAGGGACATGCCAAAAATAGCAGTAGTAACTATGCCTTAGGAGAAGCAGTTCAGTTCAACCTTTTAAAATAATTTGTACAGTTGAAAACAACTATATAAAAGCCAGGAAATAAAATTGGGACTATCAGGAAAATATTGCAAGGTGAAATGCTTATGGAGTGTGGAGCCAGCAGTGTTTTCTTTCAGATTATTCTACTGGATTCTCCCTGCCTGCCCCCCACCACTATTTTGCTGCTTTAGCCTGAACAGACATGCAACATTTCATGCCTACTGGGGGAGGGGTTATGGCTATCTGGATACCCCAAAAGGGACAGTTGGGACCCTAAGGAATCTACATTTGGCACCTGGGCCTGGGATTCTGTACCCTTGGCATAGAGGGTTTAAATCAGACAGAAATGGTGGCTCCTATACTACCTGGTTCTCCTGGTCTGAGGATATTGATATTGACCATCAGGCTCATCAACTTCTCTTTCTTTCTCCAGGATGTCTCTTCTGGCACCCTTCCATCCTTTTCCAATGGGTGGAATGGGAAACAGAAATCCACGGATGGCATCCACCGGCTCAGGGTTGATTTCAAGGTGAGGGAATGTCTGCCTGAGAGATCTCTGCTTCAAATAATAGCATTTAAAGCCTCAAATAAAGTGCTGGTGGATCACAGCTCTCTCCAGGGGCACCCACTTCTACTCCTTAAAGTACCTTGGCACCTCTTCACAGGTCTGTGGTAGATGTGATCAAATGCATTAGAAGGACTCCAACTCCCATCATCCATGACTATTGGCTGTACTGGTTGGGACTAATGGGAGCTGGAGACTGATAACATCTGAAGGACCATGCGTGTCTCACCCAGAAGTCTACCCCTATCCTACTCCTCATACAAATTGCCCTTAGAATTTATTTAACTGGGTTTCCTGCCAGAGAAATACATTGGTCAAAGAGATGAAGCTGCAAGCTTGGATGTTCTTGCCACTTTTGAGCCCTACTTTGGACAGGTGTAGGATGGAGGAAGTTGCACTGGTCTCAAAGAGATGCAGTGGCTGTGATATCTCGGTGTGAGGCCCCTCCTTTATGCAGAGACCCTGTGGGTGCAGAGTTCTCTGCCAGGTTCTCCATGATGGCTGTCCTGTCTTGTCTTTTCTTTTTGAGTACAGAGAAGGGGAGGGGTGGGATGATTCAGGAAGGGCCTTGTCCTGGAAACAAGTTCGGCTAGCTGCTCTGGGGTTGCTTCCCTTCCCCTCAAGCTTGCAGCTTGGCTCTCAGGACGCTTCGTTCTGTATGTTCACCAGCTCTCTGCTTGTGATGCACCGAAGTGATTTGATATGTGGAGGGGATGGGGACGGCAGATAGGCACGGTTCCTCGCTTTGGATGGAAATCAAGCTGTATGGAACATACCAGACCAGCCTAGTATGGGCTTTGGTGATAAGAAATAGCTCTGCTGCCTGATCTCCCTTCAACTGGAGATCCTGAGGGTGCAGTTCAGGCTTTTCCACTTGCGAAGCGTGTGCTGAGCCAGAGCCTGTTGTAGATGTAGATGCCCTCTGGTCCATTGCAGGCAGGGTCAGTGTCTTCGGCTCCAAGGCATTCATCACAGCCTTTCCCCGCTTGGGTCTCTTGCAGGAAGACTGTGACCTGGAGAACGTCTGGCTGATGGGTGGCCTCAGCATCCTCACCTCGGTGCCAGTCACCACCCAGTTGGTGTGCCTGCTCTGTGCTAGCAAGGGCTTCCATCAGGTGTGTCTGAGAAACGGAAGTTCGGATGTCTGTGTTCTGGTGTGTGGGCTGGCAGGGCACAGGGAGGTGTGGAGCGGGTGGGGAAGTGCCCCCGGCCGAGTTTCTGCCATATCTGTATTGGCTTGGGACTAAGGACGGAGGTCAAGCTTGTTCTATCCCATTTCTTTATGAACTCGAACAAAATGAACTTTAAAAATTCAAAAAAACGAATTTCAAGAAGTGTCCCCCTTTTTTATAACACACATTTTTGCGCTCAGCTTTGGATGGATGCACTCACCCACTGACAAGCATGTCTGCACACATGTTGGAAGTGTATGCATTTTCTTCGTGCCTTTTTCAAAGGTGCATGTTGTCAAATGCTTTCTGTTTTTGTTTTGTGGGATGCATTGCAAGCTTGGCAATGTCCAGATTTCCAGTCTCCAGTCTAATTGGGTTCAAGAACTGGGTAAGCTCCCAAATGGTTGCCGTGCATTTCCTGCGCGTCCCCGTAGGTGGAATGTTGAGGCTAGACTTAAAGGCTCTGAAGCACAGGGCCCCAGCTCCCATTCAGGATGTGTGCCTAATATAGCTGCCTGCTGTGTGCTTTGCAGCTCGTGTTCTGCCAGGTGTGTTGCGACCCCTTTCATGTCTTCTGCCTGGAGGAGGATGAACAGCCACTGCCCGAGCAGGAGGAAAGCTGGTGTTGCCGCCGCTGCAAATTCTGTCACGTCTGTGGCCGCAAAAACAAAGCATCCAAGGCAAGGGGGGGTTTACTCTGCGTGGGTTCTGCATACTGGGACTATCCCAATATCTATATACTGGACTGGACTGCTGGTACTGCGGCTGTGCATGTTCCTTGACCACACCAACTCAGCACAGAAATGTGGGTGCAGGATGCAGGATACAGCGCTTGTTGGTGTTTCAGAGTTCTCAGTTAATAACCAAAACATGCCGCACACTAGAGCAGTGAACCCAAGAGCTGAAGCCTCAGGGAAAGCTAGTTCGGGAATTGCTTTTCAGGCAAGTGGCTTTTGCCCGTGGAGGACTTCGGAAGAGCAGGGTTGGGTGACTCAGGAGCTGGCGCTATGCGTGTGCATTCGGCAGGAACAGAATGACTGAAAGCCAGGAAAGAAGGCAGGAGGAGGGGACAAAATAAGCCAAAATGGTCCTGGTGAATCAGGAAATACGAGAAGAGGGAGGTCAGAGCAGAGGATGGCTTTATTTAGTTAGTTAGTTTTTATAATCTAAAAGACCCTGCTCATCCTCCAGGGAGCTCCTGATTTGTCTCTCTGTCTCCACCATCACCCATCTTCACAGCAACCCTGTGAGGTAGGCAAAGCTGGCAGATGGCAACTGACCCAAGGTCACCCAGTGAGCTTTGTGGCTGAGTGAGGATTTGAACCCAGGTTTCCATGCTTGAAGTCTGGAGCTATCCTGAATGTGGTGCCCTTCAAATGTCTTAGGCTACATTTCCCATCATGCACTGCCAGCAGGAGCAGCAGGCACTGATTCTGGGAGTTGTAGTCCAAGTCTCAGTAGGGTACCAGACTGAGGGAAGCTGATCTAGCTAGTACACTAGAGTGGCTGTAGATGCTGCAGATGAAGAGAACTCTAAGGGTCCTGGTTCATAAAGGCTAGAAACTTGGAGCCAACTAATTTTTCATTTTTATTTTGTCTGTCCCACTTATAAGACACAGGTCTCGCAAAGCAGTCTACTCCAATAAAAAGAAAAAAGTCACAGGGGCCTGTTGTGAAGCATACAAACTTAAAAAGGCAAGACACACTACAGCAGGTATGGATGGGATGAGTTTGACAGAGCCAAAGTAATTCAAATTAGACTGTCATCCTCAGCTCATCCTTGCCAGTTTGCAATACTGTGACTATTTCAAGACTTCACAGGGCTGCCACCCTTCCTAAACTCCGACTGAGCTGTTAAGAAAAAGCACCACACAGGCCTACAGACAAGGTCCCAGGTGGCCTTTCTTGCAGGCCCTGGCTTAGCAACAACTGAGTTCTCCCGAGGCCTAGCAATCCTATCTTCCTCTTTTGCTTACTCCACTTCCTTTCCTCCAGTAGTGCATAGTCCTTCCTGCCTCTTTTCTCTTTGGCTCTTCCTTTCCCAATTCCAAATCCCCCCTGGTGGTGTTCCTGGGGGTCTTCAGTTTTGGGACACCTCCCACTTCCTGTAACCAACTTGTGTCTTGACTAAGCCCCTCTGGTGTTTTTCTCTGTTCTTCCATTCCATTCCTTTCTCCACCCTGTCTTGTCCACCATTTTTCATGGAGCCTTATTCAGCCCTTGTCTGTCGTTCAGCCTCCTTGTCTCTTCTCTCTGACCCTTTGCTTTCCTACCTCCTGAACCCTCTTGCCTGTCCATAACCTGCCTCTGTATGTAACTATGCTCCAGTCTAACTAGTCACTTTTGCATCTCTCCCTGCAAACTATTGCTGCCCTCAGCAACAGAACATTTTGAATTGTGGCTCCTGCTTGGCCAGCATCAGAGGTTTCACTCGCGAAAGCACAGTGCAATATAGATCGTTCTCCCCGAGTGAAAGGTGCAGGAGGCATCTCAGCAAGAGGGTTCAGTAAGCAGGAAAAGCCAGGTCTAAAGGGTTTAAAGAGGAATTAGCACCATGTTCTGGTAGTACAAGGCATAGGAAAGCAAGGAAAGACCAAGCCTAAGATTGTTAGGGAAAATAATATCTGCCGCATGATGGTGAACAGGCTGAGGGTGTTTGTATAGAATATTAGGGAATGCTAATTTTGCACAGTAGCTTCTGCATGTAATGCTAGAAGCCACATTCTGCTGTCTGCGTTTTGATCACATGGTACTTACCGGCTTTGTGGTTCCTCCCATTGCTTGCTTTGCTCGTAATCTCTGAGCTTCTCGTTAGGGTTTGTGGCATCTCTTGGTGCAGAGGTGTAATGGATTCCTTTCCAAAGCCTGGGTGTAATTTCTCACTTCTTTTCTCTTCCTCCAACTACTGCAGCAACTGCTGGAGTGTGAGCGCTGCAGGAACTGCTACCATCTAGCTTGCCTTGGGCCCAACTACCCCACTAAACCCTTCCGTAAGAGGAAGGGCTGGGTAAGTAAATAGAGAACTGAAGGTGGCTCTTTTCAGCAGTCCTGCATTAGACAGTAGTTGGCCTAACTCTCTCCTCCTCCTCCTCCTCCAGATCTGTTCGGCCTGCATACGTTGCAAGAGTTGTGGGACGGCTCCTGGGAAGAACTGGGACACAGAGTGGTCCAGTGACTACAGCTTGTGCTCTGCATGCTCTGTGCTGTATGACAAAGGTGAGTGCAGTGGAACTACCTGAAAAATCGCATGGGTTTCAGGTGGAACGTGCCAGGTATGTTGAGCTTGTGGAAGAGTTGTGGGAGTGAGTGCATTCACTGAGGGATGCTCATGCTGAGGAGATGAGTCCACATCTTGCATTATGCCATGTGCACACATCCAGACAATTGTATCTTGGCATAATTGGCTGATATTCCTATCTTGGTTTGTCCTGAGGATGCTAGTCAGAGTAGCCTAGTTCAGGAAAATACGGTTCGCTGAAGACTTCCTGGGTAGCTTTTTCATGCTGCAAAGGGTCTGCGTGCTCAGCCAAAAGATTTATTGATATCTCAGCTTTTACACCTGTGTTAATCCAAAAGCAGTAATCTTGCCATGTTTGCAGTTTCCACTTGCAAACAAAACAAGACAACACAGTAAATTGAGGAATTCCAGTTACGTTGCTCAGTGAAAGGACTTTGTTTGAATGAAAAAGGATTGTCCAAGCTGCCCTCCAGATTTCTTTGCCTTCTCAAGTGCTGTGGGTAGTGATCCGAGAGGGGGGAGGGGTTTGTGGTGGCACTGAGGATGCTTGTCTGACATCTGAGCTAATGGCATATACATGCCAGAAGATTTTCCCACGCCAGGCCTTTACAGAACATTTTAGAAATGTGGGATTTGTTTTGGTTTGCTTGTTCTGCCTTCAAGTACCTGATGCAAAGGTCACTGTCTTACCTGATAATCTTTCCTGCTTCCCTGTTCTAGTTTTCATATTTGATATTTCATGCTTTTGTTAGTGGAGTATTGTTTGTATGCTGAAGGTGCCAGGTATAATTGAAGCAAGTAAATAATTTGGAAGTAATGAATATATGGCCCTTTTCACCCTTCTGATGACAGGCATCAGATATCACCTGGCTTTCTGAGGAAAGTGTTCCATTCTTGTTTGCTTTCTTCCCTTGCTCCTCAACCAGGGAACTACTGCCCAATCTGCTTGCACTGCTATGAAGACAATGACTACGAGAGCAAGATGATGCAGTGTGCCAAGTGTGACCACTGGGTTCACGCCAAGTGTGAGGGACTTTCAGGTTGGTTCAGTGCTCACAGCAGCTTTGTGTAGCTACTGCAACACAACTTCCCCTTCCTCCTGCTTCCAGCTAATCTGGCTGGGGCTGCGTCTTGTATGGGGTGTGGATGAGAGAATTGCAGCAGGCTTAAGAAAGTACGGAGTGAAAGGAGAGGCGCACAGTTACATTTTTTGCAAAATTGCCTTCCCTCTGTGGTATTGGTGGGCATGTCGTGAGCAGAGCCGGCTGGAGCTGGGGGTCAGACTACATGGCCTGGGAGGCCCTTCTGACTCGCCCTTTTTCTGTGTTTCTGTATTGTCCCCATTTGGATCTTCTGGCCAGGTCTTGTGCTTGGCAGTGCAAGTTCAGCTTGTTAGTGCTGGGGTGGAAAATGGCTACTTGGGAAGACCACAGACGTCTCTGGGCTCGGACTGGGCATGGCTGATGTGCTGCTTCTCCCTCTCCGCTAGACGAGGGCTACGAGATCTTGTCCAACTTACCAGAGAGTGTCGTGTATGCTTGCCGGCCCTGCTGTGGCAGTGACAAGACCAAGTGGCGTGAGGTCCTCAACTCAGAGCTGCGCAAGGGCCTCCGACAGGTGCTTCAGGGGCTGTTGAGCACCAAATGCGCCACCCCACTGCTGCAGTGTGCACAGGTATAGTCTTTGGGGCACATGTAGAAATGGTGGGGCATCTTCTTAGATTTCGTTTGTTCTCTCTGTCTCCCCATTTTGGTAGAGAAACCTAGTAGCCAGTACTGCAGGAGCAACTTTTGGCCCAGCTTCAGTAGATTGAGAACAGATTCCTGGCTTACTGTGGGTCTGTTCAGGCTGAAGGCAGTCAAGCAAGCAACTAAGCATGTGTGTGAGTGGTGGGAGGGTATCCATTGCCAGCAATAAAAAGATTGTGTTCTAAGTTTACTTGCTGTGCAGAGGGGATTTCTTGATGCAAGTGTTGCAGCATGTCCCTTCCCCACAGTGATTGCCCCCAAAATTGCTCCCCTCATGCCAGTTAGGTGCCAACAGAACCAGTTTCCCCCAGTCTAAGGATATTTAGGAGTCTGGGCAATAGATTGGGCCAAGCAACATCTCTGCTCTTTCTTAGGTGGTGGATTTTTATACCATCCATCTTTTGCCACTCCTTCCTTGAGGAATGATGCTGTCCCTCTTTCTCCACCCAATATTTGGTAGTGTAGGAAACCAGCCGAAGACGACTCTGTTGCCCAGTGCTCTTTGCCCTGCAGTCTTTCCCCACACCAGCACCAGTATTAGCCTTCTCATGGACCTTCCCGCAGTCAAAGAAGCCAAGTGACTTAAATGAATCCCTGGCACAGAGGGTTACAGGAGGGTTGCTTCCCCCTTAAACAAGCCCTCAGCGGCTTGGCTTGATCATCCAAAGCACATCATAGTGTGGGATGCAACAACAGCATTCCTCGTAGTGGGTCCGTCAGCCTCTGCTCCTCGTCCCAAAGGAGCCTGTTCGCCACTCTTAACATGCGATCTACTCGCCCATTCTGTGAGCAGGTGGAGCACTGCCAGGTGGCTTGCAGATCACTGCGTGGCCTGCAGATGGCCTGCCCTGAGTTACAAACAAGCAAAAAGTCCTGTCGCTCAGGGTCTTCTTGGGAATGTCGCGTTACCAAGCTTGGGACTGTTCCACTGACAAGTCGCTAACACAGTGCAGCCGGGTGGGGTGCCACTGGTGGAAGCTGTGGCACAGAGGAGTGGCAGCGCCCCATTTGTCCCTCCCTTTGCTCCCGCCAGTGTTGTCCGGATGATGGGGTGAAGGTTCACCTGCGGCCCTGTGACCTGCGCACTGTCAACAGGCTCTTCGAACAGGGTCACTACTCATCTGTGGTGAGTGCTGGGAGCCGGGAGCCGGGCTTGAGCAAGCATGTGGGGCTCGGCCTCTGACCTCTGCTGAGCTGTTTTCTCTCTCTGCAGCACAGCTTCAATGAGGACATGGTGGGTGTCCTGTTGGGGCAAATGGAAGAGGAGCAGGCTGGCATGACTGCGAAGGCACTCTACATTGAGGTATTCTGCAGGGTCCGGGTTGAGGGAGGGGGTGAGGTTGGTCTGCTCTGGACTCACCTGATTTGGGAATATATAGGCCCATGCACATACGTCACCCCAGCCAGGAGCACCTTCTCCCCTGCACGGTGGCCTTATGAATGTCCACTACTTTTCTTTCCAGCTGATGGGAAAGTTCTTCAGCTGGTTTGATGCTCAGGATTCAAAGCACTGGACCCGCAACAGCACCCTCCCCAAGTGAGTACCATCTGCAGGTCCTCTGGTCCTTGTGGTGCCTGTCAAAACCAGTGCAGTTTGTGGTGTGTCTGGGGGGTGGGCAGGGGTTGAGGGCTCAGGTCTGCCAAGAATGATCTAAAATAGCAGCAGGGAGGCATTCCAGTCACAGGAAGAAAGCCCAGTGACAAAATCACAACCATTCCAATTACTTGTGGTTTGTCTATGGTCTGCTGGGCTGTATGCTTCTTGCATTTACCTAAGACAGCTTTGAAGCTTATATGTATATTTTTGCCACAGCCAGCCCCTGAACAAAGAGTCTTTTTCTCTGAAACATCAGGCGGGCATAGCATGCAATACACAAGAACTGTGTCACTTTTCCCCCTGTAATAAATTGTCCAGAATACTTTCTCCTGTAAATTAGAGCATGGAACTTTCCATGGAATGATGCAAGTTTCAACAGCTGCATGTCAGGATTAGAAAAACGGCTTCGTTGTCTACATAGCTTCAGAGAAATGCTTAAAATTGGCATGGGCTTTTTTCTTAGAAAATCTATTTTACTGTGAGGGAACGGCAAGTAGTTGCAGGTACACGGCTGCCATTATTTCTTTTATACTTGTAAAGTGACTTAAGAGTGAGTTGCTACTCCTGCTTTAGGGATGAGGGGAACTGAGGCTCACAGATGAGAGGGCAAGATCAAAAGAGTGAGAACCTAGGAAGCGTTTATATTGGGTCAGACCCTTGGCCCCTCCGGCCCTGCAGTGGAGGCATGGACTAGCAAGGGGCTTTCCAGGGTTTCCGTCCCTATGTAGGAATGCTGGGGATCAAACCTGGAACCTTCTGTGTGCAGAGTCGTGCTCTGTCCTTGAAGTCCATGGCGGAAGGGTAGCTGCAATATATGTCGCTGACCAAATCCTGGTCTGGGGCTTCAAGCCCTTCTCACATCTGTTGCCCCAGCAACCAAAACAGCAATTAAAAAAACCAATTTGAGTGGCAAATCGCAGATTCTATGAAAAGCCCCCAGGGCAAAGCCCTGTGTTTCCCTGCTTATAGAATTAGCTGCTCCTTCAGAATGAAACTTTCTCTGCGGGCTGTAATGGTGTTCTTCTCTTCCTTCCCTGACAGCGGCATGCTCCCCAACGCTGTCCTGCCTCCATCCTCCGACCACATCTATGCTCAGTGGAGGCAGCCTGAGGAAGTCAGCCCAGCTACGAACAGTCATCTGACTTCTGCTGGGCCTGAAAACATGGGTAAGCCACTGATTAAATAAAATAAAACCAAAAGAAAAGGCCTCAGGGCATGTGGGGTGGAACCACTTCTGCATGCAGATTCCCTTGGTTTTTCCCTGATTTTTTTTACTTACCTGGCAGGCTTATTTCTGCGTGATTTCTCCTGTTCGCTTGGGGCATATGGTGCTGCCTTAGACCAAGTTCAAGCGTTAGGCCAGCCATCCTGGTACTGTCTGTACTCACCACCAAAGCGCTCTACTGGGGTGATACGAGGGTCCCTACCAGCCCTACCTAGAGAAACCAGCGATAAAACTAGGGGCCTTTTGCATGTAATTCTGTAGTGGAGTCCTGTTGCTGCTTGCTTCTCTGTTTCCCTCCATCTGAAAAATCTCTCAGTCCTTTCTGGAAGGTACTCTCCGAATGGATGCAGGAGGGGGTTCTTTCTCTCCAGTAACTGGAACTCGGTGCCCCATTCTCCTACTCTTTCTTCCCATAGCTGGGAAAGATACCGAGCATGTTTTGCTGCAGAAGCCATTGGCTGACCCTGAAGACAAGAGGCAGTGCGCCCTGTGTCTCCAGTACGGTGATGCTCCCTCCAAGGTAAGGGTTGACCCTCCCGATCCCATGAGCAGAGCTCTGCTGGGTCCAGATCCAAAGGCCATCCAGCATCCTATTCCTGCGGTGGCCAGCCAGATTCCTCCTGGGAAGCCGGCTGGCTGGCCACGGGCATCGTGGCCCTCGCTTGCTGTTGCCTCTGAATAACTGGCATCCAGAGGCAGCCATTGATGGAAAGTAGGAAGCATCCGCACCACTGGATATTCACCTGTCCCTCCTTTAGTCTGGCTTAAGGGTCCCAGGGCCAGGGAGAGAGGCATGGGAGGTGGCTGGAGACGGCCATATCTCTGATCTGTGTGTTTTTCAGCATGAAGAAGGCAACTTAAATGGCAGGGGGCGGGGGGAACTGAGCAGTCTTGGAGAGAAGACCGTTTGCATCCCATACAGTTCCTCCCCGGCTCACTCTTAAGATGCGCTCTTTCCTATGCCCTCCAGGATGCGGGAAGGCTGCTGTACATCGGCCAAAACGAGTGGACCCATGTCAACTGTGCCATCTGGTCAGCTGAGGTCTTTGAGGAGAATGATGGCTCCCTGAAGAACGTTCACGCTGCTGTGGCCCGTGGCCGACAAATGGTGAGTAAGGTGAAACTCAGCAAATTATGTTGGAAGAGAGTAGGACTAAGCCCAGCTAAGGGCGACCTTGGCTGCCTTGAAAAATCTTGCTGGCATAAATAGCAGAGAGAAGAGATGATTAAAAACGCTAGCATTCTGTATGAACAGACAGCATGGTAGAAGAGCTGGATAATCAGAATGACCTGCTGAACTCACTCTGCATCAACAGGTGTTACTCCATTGTGGATGCCTCATCAAGATGCTTGGTGTGCTGAATTCTGCTCCAGTACATCTCATACAATTTCATAACTTATATTATGTCCCCATTTTTTCAAATACAGCTGCTCACACTCACATAAAAATGCAAAGCAGAGAGAGAACATTAATATACAACAGAAATAATGATAAAATAACATTTAAAATGCATGATAACAGCAACAATAATAATGCTTCCCTTCCAAGTAATTCATATAGATTGGGCTATACCAAACAAAATTCAGAATGCTTATGGAGACTAGGCAATACAAAAGAGGCCAGCACTTTGCATGATCAAGGGAGATCTCTTGTCCTTCAGTGTCTGTAGCAAAATCTCTTGGTCAGTCTGAATGCTTGTGGTGGTCATGGGATAACTTTTAGATCATGGCAGTTTTGTTAAGCATTACATGGACGATAATGAAGTATCCAGAACAAATTTGAATGTTTAAGTATGGGATGGCATAGAAAAGTTTGAAATAATAAAATAAAATAAAATGAAATTGATGCGCCCAATGATACCTGTCCAGAAGGGAACCAACCACTGGGTTGCACGCACCCAATTAAATCCTGTACGTGATGCATGTGCTTTGTGTAGCCCTGCAGAGATCGTGCTGAGCCACCCAGTCTCAGACATATCCTGGATGAGCTCCCTATCCTGGACCTCAGCTTGAGTTTTAAAAGGAGCTTTCTCTCCCTGGGATGGCACTGGGGAAACTGTGTTGGCACAGCAGCTTTTCCTGGCTGATCGCAGCAGGTCAGAGAAGAAGCTCAGTGATGAGCACAGGGAAGGAAGGCATGGAGCATCTGACAGGGACAGGCAGTCTCAGACCCAGTTCGCACGACGTGGCAGCCACCAGGGCCTTTTGCAGGGTGCCCACAGGCTCCGGGCTTGCTGAGGGTTGTTGTGTCCTGTGCCCCCTGGCAGAGGGCTGTCAAGAGGGTTAGACAAGCCACAACATGATCATGTGCTGTGCGAGGCTCGTCCAGGTTGGATAACTACCAAATCCATCAAGGCTGATGGATTTGCTCCTTGTGGGAGTTGTGGCTCTCCGATTTGAGCCTGTACCTTGTGGCTTGGCAGATGACCACAGTTATCCTGTGACCTTTTATCCTGTTGTAGTGATATGGTTGCCATGCCTTGACACGACTCGCCTCTGTCTCTTAGCGCTGTGAGCACTGTCAACGCACGGGGGCCACTGTTGGCTGCTGCCTCTCGGCCTGTCTCAGCAACTACCATTTCATGTGCGCCCGCCTCCGCCACTGCACCTTCCAGGATGACAAGAAGGTCTTCTGCCAGAAACATGTTGACCTCCTGGATGGGACGGTAAGGCCTGGGGCAGGGAGTGCTCTTGGGAGGGGATGATGGTGCTGGGTGAGTGGATCATGGCTGGGACAGTTTCTTGGGCCTGGCATTTGGAAACTGGAGCCATGACCTGCCCTCCTCCTCTCCCTAGTTTTGATACAGAAGCAGGTCTCAAAGGTTTGTCTTTGAAATCTATTTAAAAAGAAGGTCTGGTGCTCACACTCAGTAGGGTTAAGACAAGAGTTTAGCTATAGTGTCTGTCTTTTAGGAGATAGTTGCTGAAGATGGCTTTGATGTCTTGCGCCGGGTCTACGTTGACTTTGAGGGCATCAGCTTTAAGAGGAAGTTCATGGTGGGCCTGGAGCCGGACACAGTCAACATGATGATAGGTAATTGCTGGGGTGGGATGAGGTTCAAGGTGTGGGGAGAAGAGCTGCAGCTTGGCACGGGAGCACCAAGGTGCAGTGGCAGTGCAGGTCAGTGCAATGTCTCGCCCGGAGGAAGAAAGTGTTGCGCTTGGTGCCCCAACAGCTGTGCAAGGTGTGCAGGCAGCTGCTACTCCAGTAGCCAGGGAAATACGGTTGATGATGCTTTGGCCAGCAAATGAGTATGTGTGGAATCCACAGGCCCTCCCAATCCACTCTCTGAGTCACATGCTTGTAAGCAGGCTGTGGCTCTGATTCAGCAATAGAGCACATGCTTCCTATGCAGGAAGTTTCAGGATTTAAGCCCCAGACTCTCCAGATGAGACTAGGAGACCAGAGAGAGCCTCTACCAGTCCATGTAGACAGCACTGAGCTAATTAGACCAGCTCAAAGCATTTCTTATAAGGGCCATAGCTCAGTGGGAGGGTACATACCTTGAATTCTGAGATTTCCAAGTTCAGTCCCTGGCATCTCCAGGCAGAACAGGGGCGAGACCCTGGCAGGCTTTTGCCAGCCACAGTCTTCCCCAACCTAGGACCCTCCAGATGTGCTGGACTACAGATCCCAGCATCCTTCAGTCATCACAGAGGATGCTGGAAGGGTACCAGGTGGGGAAGACTTGTGCAGACAATACTAAGTTTTAGTATTATACAATACTAACACTAAATACTTTGTAGAACTACCAAAAGGGCTAGCACAGAGATCTTGTTTCCCGAGGCAGAAGATCCAAGTGACTCTTCTCCATCTTCTCCCCACTCCCTCCCAAAAAAAATTGCCATTCGCAGGGACAGCAGCAGAACTTCCTGGTGGATCGGTGGGAAGTGTCTGTTTTTCTCCTGCGCTGCCATCCTGAATGACACCCCACATTCAATGTTGTATGAGGCTGTCTTGATTTGTGCTTTGTCATTGGAACATTTCTGGCCAGCAAGTGCCTCTCTGCTTACTCTCTTTCCACTTTCAGGCTCTATGAAGATCGACAGCTTGGGGATGCTGACGGATTTGTCCGAGTGTGAGGGGCGCCTCTTCCCTGTAGGCTACCAGTGAGTCCCCCCTTCCACAATGGCTGTAGCCTCGTGTCCATCAGCGTACCAAAAATTGTTCTATCATACTGTTGTGGGGAACCTAACTTTTTCTGTACCATTTTACTTCAGAATGATTTTGCCAACTCTGGGCATGTTTAAAGCAAGGAACTGCTTTACATAACTTTCTGTTTACATAACTTTAAAGGAATTATACATGGATAACTAAGATGTGGACCAAATATCCAAACAAGTGAACATTTGTGGCTGGCATCTATATGCCACCAGTTCATATATAGAAAGTCTTGCAAGGTCCTAAGTACATTACATTATAGGAGATGAGTGTTTATCCTTCCGATTCTGTAATATCTTAAAGGGCACTGAGAATTTCTTCATCTACTTGTTAGTTTTCATGAAGCAGATAAGTAATTTCAAAAAGCATTTATAGCAATGAAATTAAGGACAGCTGCAGGACAAAATTTATCTGTACAATAACCCTCCCAAAAAGCAAGTACAGGACACTAGTAAAACATATCTGTAAAATAAAACCACATTAGCAGTACTGCAGTAACAGCAATTACTTGAATTAGACAAGCCCATCTGAAAGAGATGTAGTGTCCAATAGAAGGTTTTTTTCTGAATAGGACACAACCTAAGATTCCAAGTGTGGCAAGCAGACACCAAAACAGCCATCCACTGGTTAGGTACTTTGTGGTGGGGCCCGCAGCAGTTTTCAAATTCTCACATGTGCCCACAGGTCAGAAAAGCTTGGGAACCCCTGCCTTAAAACACTTTCAGCCATTCCTTCAACTCTGACTTGATTGTGTTAAAGCGCAACACAATCGTGACGCTAGGAAGCTTTCCCCTGAAAGCACGGGAAGACAGATAAGGGGAGACACGATAGAGGTGTACAGAATTACCCATCATATGGAGAAAGTGGATGTGGAAACATTTTTCTCCCTCTCTCATAACACTAGAACCCAGTGTGGGCATCCCCTGAAGCTGATTGGTGAGAGATTCAAGACAGCCAAAAGGAAGTCTTTTCTTCTCACAGCATAATTAAAGGAGGAATTTGCTATCACGTAAGATGTCGTGATGACCACCAGTTTGGATGGCTTTAAAAGAGGATCAAGCACATTCATGGGAGATAAGGCTATTGTTGACTACTTGTCATAATGGTGGTGTTTCTGCTGGCACAAGATGTTGTATGCCACTTACCTGTACTCATCCTCCGCGGGGGTTCCCCCCAGGTAGTTGGTTGGCCACATTGTAAACAAAATGCTGGGCTAAATGTCTCTTTAGTATGATCCGGCATGGCTCTAATTGTGTGTTTGCTTTCAATTCATGAAGTACATTCAAACTAAGCCACTGCTTCCATCCAGTAAGTAATACTAGTATTATTTGTTGCATCAGGTACTGAAATTGAGAGATCCTGAACCCTTTCAATAAGATCAAATTCCAGGTATCCTCAGTCCCAAGACAGTGATCCCATTGCCCTTTTCCCAGTACAAAGATGTGAAAAAGACTTATGTGTCAGATCCTAAGCATAGATTTGCTGAAGGGCCTTTTAACAAGCTGTTGTCACAGGGCTCACTAAGGATAAGTTAGCCAGGAAACAGTCATTCCTAGCTCCTTGATTTTTTCCTGTCTGATAACTATTTGCACATTCATGTTTCGCCCTTCATGTGTTCCGACGTAAATGTGTCTTAGGGAAATCACCCAAAAATGTTACGTGGGAGTGGGAAATAACCCTTGGCCTCTATTCTTCCCATAGAAAATGTGGCTGCCACATGTTATATAGGGAGTGAATGAAATGGTGTATGTTCTAAAAGCATATATCATACATTGAGATATTGGTATTTTGCTATCTGAATATAGTGCTTTCAAAAACATAGCTCCAAGGGCTTTTTCATTGTGATTGCTGCTGTTTACCACAGTCTGCATACCCAAATAAATCCTCCAAGAAGAAAAGCTGCTTGCCTGCCCTCTTGAGAAGAAATACAGGACAATTTCTTGTTCTAATTGCAGGTTCCTGTTGGCCGATCGAGCACTGTAGCTAGTGAAAGTCACATAGACATATGGGACTGAAAGGGATTTTTCTAAAAGGTCATGTAGTCCAAACCCTTTTGCTCCGCTGGGTAGGAAGGATCTGACTAGAAAAAGAAACTGGAACATGTATTCACTAAGCATGGATTAATCTGCCCTTTACACTGCCCTCTTGTACTTGCTGGCAGGGTGACTCAAGAGAAGTGAAGGGCTTTATCAACCCCCTCTTCTCCTCCGCACTGGCGTTTGTTGCATTCTGATGGATAAAGGGATTCTTATCTGCTGTGGAGTGTGAAATCAGGACATAGGAGTTATTCCAGATGGATTAATGCACAATGAGGGGCATATATGCATGTGAACGCATGGCAAGGGAGAGAACTTGTAACCTCTTCCCCCCCCCCCGCCCCGCCCTCCCTCCGCCAATTTGAAAAAGCTCTTTGCATTTGCAAAACACTTGTGCTAATTCCTGGTTTTGCTGCTTGATGTGAATTAGACATAGGAAGCAGTGTTAGCCACGGTGGTCAACCAGACCTCTCGCAGTGACTGCCTGAATGCTTACTGGCCAGCACTGGGAATTGCGACTGGAGGTGGTTGCTAATGAGTCGTGCAGCCGTAAGCTAAAGAGAAAGCTGGATTACATTCTGCTGCCCCACTGGATGGCCACAGATTCTCAAACAGTATATTGCTATCCTAGGGATGAGGAGCATGTGGCCCTCCAGATCTGGGCTGTTGTCACGGGTAGGCGTGGCAGGGCCCCCCCGGAGTGGCTGCTGCTCTTCACCACTGCAGCCTCTCACTCTAGCCCAGCTAGCAGTGGTGGTGTGAAGGAAGAGCTGCACTTGGCACTACCTACTTGCCCACCAACTCTCTGTCTGACGTGCAAGCCGGTGGTAGCAAAGATGGGAAGGAAAATGAGGAGCAATTGCAGCTGCTAAGAAGGTGGACTCACTGAGGGAACCTGGAGCTGGCCCTGCTTCAGATGATGTTGGACTACAGCTCCCATCATCCCTGACTGTTGGCCATGGCTGGCATAGTGATTAGACTTGGGAATTGGGAGCTCCAGGTTCTAGTCCCTCCCGAGTGACTTTGGCCCAGTCACAGACTCTCAGCCTAACTTAGCTTCTTGTGAGGATAAAATGGGGAGAAGGTGGAGGCTTCTGTAAAGAAAGGAAAAAAGTTGAGCTATAACTTTAATTAATAGGCTGGAGCTGGAATCCAACAACTGGAGGCTGCACTTGCCCCATCCTTGTTCTAAGGAGTTAGCATGTCTCTCAGCCATCAGAATCCACTCTTGGAATCCATGTAGAAGGGCAGACCTCAGCCTCGGCCTCCTCAGCTGCCATGCTTAGTTCTGAAAATGCACTCAGACAACCTGAGCAGTTGCAGAGCCAAGGCATGCTGGTCTGCTCTCTCCTTCCCCCACCCCTAGAAAAAAGCATCTCTTTCACTCATCATTGCATTCTGTCTAGCAGGATTTGCAGACACTGTTCCCACTTAATATTGCTGAACTTTGTCAGACTTTGGTGAAGTCCCTTCTGTTTGAAAAGCTGCAGATCCTTGCAAGCATTGGTTGCTGCCCCAGAGAAACCTGTTCTTCGGCAGGTGCCACCGATACTTCCTTCCAAGTGTGGGCATGTTTCCATCCCAAGGCCATGGTGCCAATATGTCTGGTGCTGCACAAGGTGTTCACAGCAAGGATAAGAGTTGTGCGGGCTATTCTAATGTGCTGCTGTGCGATTAGGTGTTGTGATAGGCGAAGAGACATGGTTCTTTACCCAGAGTCACAGAAGACTTTCTTGGTTGTGTCCCATTCCTGCCCTCCCTCATAATGCTTGCTTTCTTAAAAATGCCTCCATGCTTTCTATCTGGCAAGGGGAACTAGAGGCTTAACTAAAGGGAGCATAGGCTTGGCTGGAGACCAGGGGCCTTGCTGGTCCTCCATTGCTCTGTGGTGATTGCACAGGTGGTAAAAGTGAGAGCTCTACATTTTCTCTCCAAGGCTGTGTGAGAATCTGTCTGCTGAGATACACCGTTCTGAGCAGTCACTGCTAATGAACAGTTTATGAAAGCATAAATAAATATGTGAAATATGAACAAAATGGTTTTGTGAGTATTGTGGCTGGAGCTTAATAGTCACTTCAGAGATTCCACACCTCCCATGATTAACTGCTTAGCAAGGCGCTGCATCAAGAGCGCTGAAACCGTTTCAGCCCAAGGGCTGAATTCAGTTTCAGAAAAAGCTCTTGGGGGCCAAGTGATGGGCAGGACCGAAAATATTTTAGCTTTTAACTACCTGTGGCATTTCACCCTTGTAGACTGGTGGGAAAATGCGCTGTAGTTGGGAAGCTCCTGAGCAATATAGGGTTGGTGCCAGGCAACAAGGCACATCGCCATTGGGAAAAACCAAGTGGGCTGGACTTGACCTTCCAGTTCTGCCCCTCTGATGCAACCGCACCACCCCATAGCCACTGGCGGTCTAAGGGTTTGGACCTGTTTCCCAGTTGTCATGCTGCTGAAAGCAGATGACTTCAGAGCTGCTGGGACGCCATTCTCAGGGGCTGCAGCTGTTTGTGTTCCAACCCCCAGATGTTCTCGGATATACTGGAGCACGGTGGACGCTCGCAAGCGATGCTGGTACAAGTGCCGCATCCTGGAGTACCGGCCAAAGCTGAGTCAGGAGGAGCCAGACGCGCTGGGAGTGCAAGAGGAGAACCACACGATCGTGCACAGCCCAGCTGCTCCTGCAGGTGTGTCTAGTCTGCATTTCTTGGTATAGCATGTTCTCCACAATACAGCACATTCAAAGTGGTTCACAAAAATAAATGCATTCACTATAATTACAGTGCTAGATTAACTCAATTGCAGTTCATTGAAACCATGCCTAAAATGTCAGTAAACCCAAGACATGCCAGTATGTCCCATTGCCAGTAATACCAACTCCCATTAAACATTTCACGAAAAAGTTCATGTTACGAGACTTAATAGGATATCCTTTTTTACATAGCCAATTTTTATGGCCTATAGTTTATCAGCCACTCATCTTTCCTTACTTACATTTACGATACCGTGTTACCACAAATAACATTCAGGTGTGTGTGTGAGAGAGAGAGAGAGTGTGGGGGGAAGAGAGATGGATGAATTTCCATACACTGTAAAGTCTTCTGGGCAAGAACTGCCCCCTTTGGCTGTATAAAGTGCCATGCACGTTAGTGATAAAATACAGCATTTATAAAATTTATGACTGGAGAGACAGGCTTGAAATTAGGTGGGCAATGTTTGATGCAAGCTCAAGAGTCAGGGAGGTGTGGTAGGGGCTGAGCAGAGTTTTTACTGGTCATCTATGGGCCTTTAGTGACCAGTTAGGCTGCTTGTCCTTGCCTCTGAACTAGTCAGAGCAGAATCAGTGGTGCATGATGAAGCCAATGTATGTTTCTTTGAGTCTGAGTAAAGCTTGCAGGCTTCTCCTTTGGCTGCTGGAGAATTTTGGACGCTTCTTAACTGCATAATTCCATGTAACAGAAATGATGAGGTCCTGGATACCTGCAGGAGAGCCTTCTCCCCTATGTGCCCTCCCACCCCTTGAGATCTGGGTCAGAGGCCCTCCTCCAGTAGCCGTCCTTGAAAGAGATCAAGAGGGTGACTACCTGGAGGAGGGCCTTCTCTGAGGTGGCGCCCGATTGTGGAATACACTCCCTAGAGAGGTATTTGCTTGGTGTCAGCCAAAACCCTTTTTATTATTCCAGTATTTTAACTGTTAACTTGTTTTAGTAGTGGGTTTATATTTTAACACTGGATGCTGGGCAACTGTTATTTTTATTTCTATTTTTAGAATTAATTCGTTGTAAACCATCCCGAGACAACTAAGTATGGAACGGTATAGAAATGTTTTGAATGAATGAATGAATGAATGAATGAATGAATGAATGAATGAAACCTTTGCCTAAGACTTTGGAAAATCACTGCCAGGTAGGGGTAAACAGTAATTAATGAGATTGCGGTAGATGTCTTGTCGACCTCCAGATGTTTTGGCTTTGATTCCCATGGTCCCTCACCCCTTGACTATTCTAGTTAGGGTTGATGGGAGTGGTAGGCCAAGAGATCTAGAGGGCCTCAAGGTGCTCGTCACTCAAGTAGATGGATGACTACTCTGACCTAGGATCAGACAGCTTCCTTTGCCTCCTGCTTCCTTTACTTGGCACAAAGGCCATGGTGAAGGTTGTGGACCACCTTCCGTCTCTTTTCAGACCCTGTCCTCGGAGATAAGCACCTTCAGGATGCGCCCCCTCCCCTGCCACCCCTGGAGCGCCATTCTCCTGCACAGAACCCAGGGCCTCTGCCACCACCGGCGTCGGTGGCCTCCAAGCCCAAGCCTCTCTCCGGAGCGCGCATCAAAGTGCCCAACTACTCTCCGACTCGGCGGCCCATCAGTGGGGTTTCATCCCGCCCCCTGCCTTCCCCTGGTGAGTTCCTTCAAGCGGGCATCTCCCATGTGCTCGGCACATCGGCAGGGCCCAGGCCAGGGCCCCCGGCCCGCCCAGCTGCTGGGGTGAAAGAGGACCATGGGAAAGCAGCAAGTCTGGTGAGAAGTCGTATGAGGAGGCATGCAAGTGCAGGAGAACGGACTGTGGTGCTGGCGCAGGGCCCCACTGCAGTGCCTGTTGGCAGCTGGCCTCTAATGACGCGAACTGAGCCAGGGAAAGGGACCCCGCATGCCCAGCAGGGAGGCCACCGCGGCTTCTTCTGGTCATGGTGCACACAGGGTACGATTTGAGTAATCCTTGACCGTGAGTGCTTGTCACATCTGAACCCAGGTGTCACGGATGGTTGGAGGGGGAAATCCAAGGGCTATTGTAGGGTTGGGGGGCGTTATTCTCCTCCCCATCCTCACCAGTAAGCCAAGCTACTCGGGTTTGCGGGTGGCTGGGAACGTGAGGCCTTTGTTTCTGTCTAAGCTCTCATAGGATTGTATCCGAAATTGAACGCACGCAGCAGGCCTGAATAAATAATGAGTACAATTGTGAGGGTGGCTGGTGAGAAGAGAGTTCTCCGTGGTGATGTCTGTCTGTCGGTCCGTCTCTTTCCTGCAGGGCATTTGAACTCTCACGCTTGTCTCCCCATCCCCCTCCTTCCTGCAGGGAGCACGTCATCCATGTCCCATCACATCCTGACTGTGGGTGACCCAGACTTCCCTCCTCCGCGCCGCACGCCGCGTCTCAGCCCTCTGTCACCTAGCAGTGCTCCTCGCACCCACCGGGCGCCCCTGCCACCGCAAGCCACGGCTAACCGGACTAGTCCCCCCAGCACCACTCTCAGGGCAATGCCGCCTCTCCCAGACCACCCCCCGGCCGGGAGCGGCTTCAGGCATCCTTCTACCTCAGCCGGGACAGAGGGGCAGCAGCCCCTATCTACCTCACCCCCGCCTCCCTCACCTCCGCCAGTGCCGCCCGAGCTGGCATTTGAGCTCAACGTCTCGGACTTGGAATTCGACGACAGCCTCTTGGACGAGCCATTCCAGGAGGAGGAGGAGGAGGAAGAGGAGGAGGAGCTGGGGATGCCGCGGACGTGCCCCCCCTCGCCCAGCCTGGGCTTGCCCCAGTTGGATGGGCTAGGGGATGGAGAGAGTGAGGAAGAGGGAGAGCCGGGCCGCTACTTCCGTTTCCCGCGCACCGTGGTGATGCGGGAGCCACCGCTGCCCCCTTACCCGCTAGACCTTCCCATGCCTCACATTCACCAGCTGGACGGCATAGACGATGGCACAGACAGTGAGGCAGACGCGGCAGGCGGGCACCCTTCTGCCAAGGGCAAGCAGGCCGAGTCGAGGGGGGAGCGAGAGCTGGCAGGCCCCGCCCCCGCTCCAGAGGACCTGCCCTCCGACATCGTGGACTTTGTGCTAAAGAACATGGATGCGCCCGAGAACAAGGCCCCGCTGCCTCCTTCCTGCCTCAACCAGGTGCCCTTGCCCCCGGCACCCGCTACCTCTGCCAGTCTCAATGGCACGGAGTCTGCCCAGCCCAGCCCCGCTGCAGAGCTGGCCCCGGTTCTCGCTCTCAGCGCCGCCCAGCTGCCGGGCACCCCTGAAGTAAAGGTACTGGGCCCCGAGGGGCAGAAGCCTGGCTCCAGGATCATCCTTGTGAACAAGCTGGGGCAGGTGTGCCTGAAAGTGCAGGGCGAAGAAGGCGGGGCGAGCGCCGCAGACGTGGAGCAGGCATCCAGCTGCAAGGCCTTGCACAACTCGCCGCCCCCGCCGCCCCCGCCCGCGCCCGCCCCCAGCCTTGGCACCGTCATACTGCGGGCGCCGCTGGGCCTGGGCCCCGGCCCGTTGCCCACCTGGACCATCCGTGGCCCAGTGCTCAGCATGGTGCCCATGATGAATGTCGTGGGCGCCTCTCCTCAGACCGTGGGCAGCGGGCAGTTGGCGCTGGGCACCCCCGCACTGGTGACTCCCTCACTGGGGCTCCAGCAGACCTGCCTTCTCCAGCCCATGGCAGTGAATTCGGGGGTGCTCAGCCTCCCGGGCTTGGTGTCCTTGCCGGGGCCCCGCCCAGCTATCCGGGTCAAGAGAGTCTCCACCTTCGTTGGAAACATGCCTGCCAAGAAGGTGAAGCTGGACGAGGTTAACGAGGAAGACGAGCCGTTGCCCACAGTGACTCCCGACCACTTGGCCAATAATTGCATGTCAGGCGGTCCAGTGAGCTCTGGGTAAGTACAACTTGCGACCTTTCCCTTTCCTCTTGCGTCTCTGATGTAGGGTCATCGCACCCACATGGTTCTAAATAGAGTTCATTGTGGTTTAAGTATCCAGCTAATGGAGATTGGGACTCTTCACTGGATTATTGTGCAGCGCTGTTCAGACCAGCAAACCTGATGCGTGTGTGTTACTGGGCTTGGTGAGGGCCTGGATGGAAACCCCTTGTATACGTAGGCAAAAAAGCAAACCCTACAGTGGAAATTCTGGGGGTGGCATGTGGTACTGGGAGCCTAGATTTTCTAATGATAAGAGCAGTTCAACAATGCAACCGATGGCTTCAAGGTGTGGGGGGGTGCTCCTTGCTGGCTATTTTCAGGCTGAGTCTGGACAACTATCTGTTAGAGGTACCCAAGCTCTGCACCAACAGCAGGGAATGAACTAGATGGTTTGCACCAAGGATGGGACAGAAAGTGGCTCTCCAGGTGTTTGGCATCTCAGTTCCCAGAAGTCTCTTGCAGTACAGCCAATAGCTAAGAGTGCTGGAGTGGACATTTAAAATATCAGTAGATTTGCTTTCAGCCCTCTTAAGTTAATGTTGCCTAAAGGACGTGAGCTGGATGTGCTGGGCTTGCACATGTCAGGCCTACTTATGGCACAGAAGCAGCTTTGGATGGCTGGCCTTTGTCAGGAGAAGGACAGGGGAGAACAAGCTTGTCCGTGGTCCCCCCTCTCTCTACCACCTCTGTAAACTAGGAATGAGAGGTGCAGTGCCTTGGTGGATCTGCTCCTGCTTATAAGTTCAGTTCCAGAGGGTTGTCTTTGCGGGGGAGTGGGAGGTTCTTCCTGGTCCATAAGCATTTGTGCTACAGGCTCCCCACTGGTTAAGGCAGGGGTCCTCAAACTTTTCGAATAGGGGGCCAGTGGAAAGGCTGCGGTAACCGTCACGGGCCAGTGAGGCGGGGGTGCCTGGGGGCGCAGGCCGGTGAGGTGCCTTCGGGCACGCGGGGCGGTGGCTCACTCAGAGATCTCCCAGCGAGTCCAGAACCATCTCCGAGCGAGCGAGCCACCACCTCCCCACCCATGCAGCAAGCACGCGGGCGGTGAACGGCAGCGGAGGCTGGCTGGATGGCCATGGCGGGCTGGATCTGTCCCGCAGGCCGTAGTTTGAGGACCCATGGGCTAAGGTGATCGGGAATTTCAAGCGAGAGGCTGTCGGCACGGTGATTTCTTTTGCCTTCATTTCTCCTTGTCACCGAAGCCTGGTGAAGCCCTGGAAGCATGGAAAGCGTCTGGGTGCCTTGGTGGGTGGCACTCTGTCTTGACGAAAGCGGGGAGCTGTAGGGCTGATGACGTCCCAGCTTTTCTGGGTGTGATTGCATGCCCCTTGAGGATTCGGTGGAAGGCGCAGTGTTTTCCCGAATCCAGCTCTGCCGCTAGCACAGCCTTCCCCGAGCTGGTGCCTTTTAGAGGTGCCGGGCTGCCACCCTCTTCAACTCCAGCTGGCATGGGCATCACCTGGCAATGACGGCAGTGGCAGTCCTAACTCAGCTGGAGGGCAGCAGACTGGGGGAGCCACTCTGGATCAGCTGCTGCCGTGGTCTCTCAGGATGTCGCAGGATGCTGAGGCTGACTCCGCTGGGCAGCGTCTGGCTCGCGTCGGTGCTGGCTCAGTTCTTGCAAAGGCCGCTTCGTCCTCACGGGCTCTGGAGCCGTCCACAGCTGTGCCCCTTCACCAGAACGGCTGCCTGTTTGTCCTCGGACGCGCGTGTGTCTTAACTTAGCCGTTTTGCCATTCAGCATTGGAAGGGTGCGGATGAAGACTCCCACAGCGAAGGGTGTCCTAGACCTGGATGCACTCAAAGAGGAGGCCGGCGCTGTTGGCGAGGATGAGCTGTGAGTGTCGGGTTGGGGCTGGCCCAGAGCCCAGTCCTCCCTGCCGCAGGCGCTCACCCCTCCGTCTCGGTGCCTCTGCAGGTCTCCGATGGAGCAGGTCTCCCCCTCCTGGACAGCATTGCACTCCCGCCCTGAGACACCGGAGCTGAACCAGGAGCCGGTGGTAGAACCGGTCTGGCACAGATACGCAGGTACTGGGAATCTTTCTCTGTCCCACCTTCGTGTGGCAGATCAGGTGGTCAGCGTAAGCAGGGAGGCTGTGGACTGGCTCCGGGATAAAATGGCAGTACCTGCCCTATCAGGTGGGAAGGGACATGCCTGAGGCATTGAGGACCAGTACATTGTTGCGGCCACTGTGTTGGGCTGGGACCTGTGAGAACTGAGGTCACATCCTCAGTGAAACATGAAGCTTCTGGATGATCGCGGGCTCATCGTTCTCTTTCAGCCCAATCTTCTCCACAGGACTGTTGTAAAATGGGTGGGAAGAGGGAAAGAACTGTGCCCGGCCTCCAAGCTCTTTGGCTGAAGGTCAGGATGTCAACGAAATAGGATAAAAGTAAATAGTCTTGACAACTTGCAGAGTCTTCTGCACCTATAAAACTACCAAAATTCTTACTGTATCAGTTGACTTTGGCCATGCAACTGAAACCCTGGAAGATGAGCAGCTTACAGATACAATTCTCTTAAAATAAAAGGCACCCCTGTAAAATAGGCCCTCCCAATTCTTCCGGGGGCACCACAGACCATCTTAACACTGGTGAGGCGTATACACATGCATAGTCCTGTGCATTGTGGTCCACTGCACGTACCAGGGTTGTAAGTGAGGCCTGGCCCTGAGAAGTATCTCTCCCCTCCTCCCTCAGTTTAAGAGCCGTGGCTCGCAAGATTTTAATTTGGATGGGTGGAATAAGGGTTTTGTGCAAACTCTCTCTCATAAAAGGTCATGGAGCTTTCCCCTTTGCACTTCTTCTTCTGCCTCAGCATCGCTGCCTGCCCATATCTATAGTCCGATCCCACTCTTCCTGAGTGACGCTGTCCACGTTACTAGGCTTTTCCTGAAATTGGGCTTTTTCTGAAACCAGCAGGCCTTGCAAGATTGTTTTTGTCCCCAGGGGATCTCACCAGCTCGGATGAAGACAACCTGAACCAAGAGGACAAAGAGAACGAGATGCCTCGTAAAACACAGCCCCACCTGTGCTTTGAGATCACCAGCGAGGATGGCTTCAACGTGCAGGCGGACAGCATTGACGGTGAGGAAGGGACAAGCACCAGTGGCATTCCTTCACTTCCACTGGCTGCTGGCAGGAGTGGCAGCCTCCTTGGGTGCTGCGGGAATATTTTTTATGGCTTCCTTTATTTGGCTACCAGCTGAAATTGTGCTCCTCTAGACTTCCCCCTTGTGAGTCCTTCAGAAGATGGGGAATACACATTCCAGCACACCTGGCTGTTAGCTGTACTGGCTGGGCTTGATGGGGGCTGAAGTCCAGAGCATCTGGGGGGCATCAATCAGACTGGGGAAGACAGAGTTATGTCTTTCTTGGGGAGCCCTGGAAAGGTGTCTGCAGCGCAGCAGTGCAGTGGACCTTTGCCCCAGCGCACACTGAATAAGATTGGCTTGATTTTAATGTTTGGAGTTACCCTGCTCTGAAAGTCAGGCACCTTTCAGGCAGATCACCTGTGCCCTCTCTGCATCTAGGTGCCTGGAAAGCAGTGATTGAGAAGGTTCAGGAGGCCCGTACCAATGCCCGCCTCAAGCATCTGTCCTTCGCAGGTAGCAAAAGTTCTGGACTGTGGGGGGGGGGAGGTGGCGGGCTTGTGGTAGCCCCCAGGCCGGCCTCCGCTGCTTCTCCGTGGCAGGTTGGAGCGTGGTGCGGAGGGGAGCAGCTGGGAGCAGAAGGCTGTTCCAGCGGATCTCGGATTCCTTTCCCAGGCTTCGGGCTGGGAGTGGGAGTGCCCGCATGAACGTGGGGCAGCTGCGGTGGGTGCTGAATCGTAGGCCCCCCTTTCTCCGGCAGGCATGAATGGCGTGCGCATGCTGGGGATGCATCACGATGCAGTCATCTTCCTGGTGGAGCAGCTGTACGGTGCCAAGGCCTGCCACAAATACAAGTTTCGATACCACCAGCATGAAGGCGAGGAGGAGGAGCTGCCCCTCAACCCCCATGGCTGCGCCCGAGCTGAGGTCTACGTCAGGTGCGGGGAATGGCTCTGCCTGGTTTGCTTTCGGGCTCTTCAGAACAGCTTCAGGGTGGTGTGGTGAAGAAGGCACCATCTCTGGGTTGCACTATGGAAGTGTTCTCCCAGTCCAGTCTGAAGTGGCTTAGGATAACCATGTTGTGGAAAGGGGTCCTTTGTTAAGGAAACGGGACAGCAGGATCTGGCGTAGGTGGTAGATGGCACTGGAAAGAGGGACAGGTGGGAGAGCCACTCGTGTTCTAAAATGGGCGGTTCTCCCCTTTTTTCCAGGAAGTGCACCTTTGACATGTTCAACTTCCTGGCATCTCAGCATCGGGTGCTTCCTGAGGGAGGCCCCTATGATGAAGAGGAGGATGAAGTGCAGCTCAAATCCACCAGGTAAGCATGGCTTACTCTTGGCTTACTCTTTGTAAGATGGTTGCTCTGGCGTTGGAGTGAACCCCACATTGTCTTTCATGTCTTGGTCCCTTCACTCTTGCAGCCTGGGAAAATCTAGCACTGAGTGATTGTATGGTAACCGGATGAAACATGGGTGATGGAAGGTTTAAAAAGTGGAACACTTCCCTTGTGTCTTATGCAGAATCTCATGTCTGGGACCAAATTCTGCCCAGCTGAGGTACAGATCTGGTGCTTGGCATTTCCCTGGGTGGCCCTGTGCCCTTTCCCTTAGCTACCAATCATATGGTGGTTTGCCAGGTATTGTGCGGCATTTCCCAATTCTAAAAGATCGAGATGCCTTTCCTAAGACTCAGTTCCTAGAAGTAAGAGTGGTATTTTGTACTATGCTGGAATTTTGGTTCTGCCCTTTTCTGCCTTTCCACCAACGGAATGCAGCCCTTAAGTGCTTCTCCAAAATACATTTTGATCCTTGGGCTGAGAGAAGTTCAGCACCCAAAGTCTTCGGTGTGTCAGATTCTCACTGTGTGTGCATCCCCAATAATAAATCTTGTTTCACATCGGTACAGTGGTTCTGCTGGAGTTAGGACTAAGGGAAAAGGGGATTGCAAAGGGATCCATTTTTTACCGAGCATTCAAAGAAAGGAGTTCCTATTTCCTTGCCAAGATCTTGTTTCTGTATTATTAAAAAACACTGCTTTCCTTGTTTCATGAAAAAGCATTGCCCCTCTTAACTAGGACTTCCATAAATCAAGATGCGCTGCCTTCACATCTTTGGGCATGGAAATAAAATTTTGCCTATCATGTCTTTGGCTGCCAAGGAATCCTGCTGAACCCAGGCATTCTGTGTGTTGGAGAGCCACCCACACAGGCAGCTAATAGTCCAAAATTGCATTGGCCGAGGGAAGATCAAAGACCATTCCTGCCACCGACCAAATATACTGGAATTCTTCCCTCAGAAGGACATACTGCTCTGTTTCTGGTGCTCTGCTCTTTCTCCACCTTATTACTTTTAATGCTGTCAAGCTGCATCCTAAAAATGGTATGGTTTTTCCCCTTGATTCTTGCTGGGAATATGTCCCAGAATTTCTCTTGGGCTTGTGTTAACGGTCAAGTAGCCAGTCCTAAGCCTAGCTCTGTGCCAACTGTTTCTCAGTCTGGCCTGGTCCGTTTTTCTCCCGTAGGCGAGCCACCAGCTTGGAGCTACCCATGGCCATGAGGTTTCGGCATCTGAAAAAAACTTCCAAGGAAGCTGTGGGCGTCTACAGGTAATGGGGTCCAGAGAGGTCTTGTGTTGTCGTTGAACCTCAACCCAGGGCTCCCTAAAGAGGCATTTACCCCGCACAGCCTTTCTCCATACCTGCCTCTAGAGTAGATCTGCAAAACCAGGAATGCAAAGTTCTTTCTTATAACTCTGGTATGTATCTTTTTCCCCTCCATCCCAGGTCAGCTATCCATGGTCGGGGGCTGTTCTGCAAGCGTAATATTGATGCAGGCGAGATGGTGATTGAATACTCAGGCATTGTCATCCGTTCTGTGCTTACAGACAAGCGTGAAAAGTACTATGATAGCAAGGTACTGATCATCAAGGAAGGGGGCGGGGACTCAGCCTGTTGTGGGAGGTGGGCAAAGCAGGTGTAGATGAGGCCCCAAATCCTTGTACGCTTAGCTCTCGTTTACTGGTCGCATTTGTTTCACTCTTGATGTATTCCTTATATTTTATAGTTGCCCAATAATCAAGGTTCTCTGGGTAGCATACAAACTGAAAACATAATGTCAAAATTTAAAACAGAAACAAATACCCTAAAACAAGTCATATAAAAACTGCAGCAGAACAGGATGGAACCAACATTGAAAAACCAGCAACAGAAGTGAATCGTTCCGGAGAGGTAAAAGCAGCCAAAATGCTTTCCTGAAAGGCCGGGGCATTTTGAACCTTCCCTTCTGCTCTTGCAGGGCATCGGATGCTACATGTTCCGCATTGACGACTTCGACGTGGTGGATGCCACCATGCATGGCAACGCTGCCCGCTTCATCAATCACTCCTGCGAGCCCAACTGCTACTCGCGCGTCATCCACGTGGAGGGCCAGAAGCATATTGTCATCTTCGCCCTGCGGCGGATCTTCCGCGGCGAGGAGCTCACGTACGACTACAAATTTCCCATCGAAGACGCCGGCAGCAAGCTGCCGTGCAACTGTGGGGCCAAGCGCTGCCGCCGCTTCCTCAACTAGAGATGTCCCCCAGCCCCTCCTTCCTCAGACCCTCCCCCCAGCCCAGCCCAGCCCTGGTATCATGCCGAGGGGCCTGCCGAGGGGCGCAGACAGAGCTCAGCCTCGCCATGCCTTTCCACGTGGGCCGTTGCGGGACTGACCCATTTCCAGGAAGCGTGGTTGAAGCCCACTTTGTGTAGGGAGTGGGGGAAGCTCTTGGCAGTGGCCCCGTCATTTCTGGGTCTGTGGCTTGAAATTATGACACGCAGAGATATGGGACAAGTGTGGCGAGGATGGCTCCCCGAACCCCTAATTTGTGCCCATTTGCTTTGCAGTCCTGATTTTCCCTCTCCCCTGCTGGGGTGAGAACAGCATTTTCTTTAATTTTGTACTTTTAAATTTTGTGTTCTCCCCCACTCCCCATTTAGAATCTCTTTAAATGAAAACAAAAAAACAGCAAACCCAGGAGGATGTAAATATTTGTACAAATTTCTAAACCTGTTTATTTTCTATGCACTTTTTTATTTAAGATGCTCAGTCAACTCAGCGGTAAAGGGTTGGATTCTTGTTGGTATAATTTTAAATAAAACACAATTTTGACACGAGGCTGTCATAGGGCTTCCATGCAATACCTTCAGAATGAAGGAGAAAATATTTTATAAGCGTTTGTGTGCAAGTGTGCACGTGTGTTAGCCCCCTCATGTCAATTTTTCTGGTTTTACATGCTGGACATGCCTTTTCAAGGTGCATTTTTATTGGTTGCAGCTCTTCCCTTCACTTTCCAGCCCTTCTGGCTGTAAGCAGAACATTTAAAAGGAGTTGCTGACTCAGTTTATTCTCAGACCAAAATCCCACTATTAAGATGAGCATTAACCACTTCCTTGAACAGCTGCACATACCACCTTTCTGATCTTGAGTATGCAGAGGGGCTAACCTAATATTATGGAATTGTTACATAAATTCACATTTTTAGGAATGTAGAAAGATGCCTTATATACCATGTTAGACTGTTTGCCTAGTATTCTCTCCCTTGCCTTGCAGTGGCTTTTGAAGGTTTCCAGCAGAGTTCCTTCCGACAAGGGCCATTATTATATTCTCTACCTTAAAAATACAGTGTTAAATAGATCACCTGCCACCATCTGTCTGGGGTGATGCCTGAGCCTTTCAGCAGGCAAAGCATCTATTCTACCATTGAGCAACGGTCCCTCCCAGTTCATGCACACTGTGGCATGATTTGCTCCCTGCCCGAACCCTCAGTTCTTCTCATTTGTAGGCTGTCTGGAACAAGCAAGCATGTTGGTGCATGACTGGAGTGGCTAAACAAAATACGAGCTTTTTATCCATGGTTTGTTTAGCATGATGCAGGAACCAGAAACTGGTTTGTCTCTCCCTTGAGTGACAAAAATGGTTCTTACTCAAGGACAAATCAGAAGATACGTGAGAATTTTAGTTACTCCCACTTGCAGTTCATTCACAATTACTTTTAATTGTGGGATAGTGCGATGTGTGAACTAGATCAATAAGTGATTCTATCAAAACAGGACAAAGAATGTTACTAGGCACTGAAAATTTTGCCCTTTGGGCATGTGTACAAAATTCCAACTGAATGCTAAGTTGCAAGGATGACCCTAACAATAAAAAGAACATTACATTCTAATTGTTGTAATGCTCAGATCACACCCAAGGAAATTCGGTGTCCATTTTACGCTTTGCTGAAATGTCAGTAAAGTTATGGAATAGATAAGCAGTCACTGCAAGCACATAATGACTAAGATGGTTTCCACTGTTTGTGGGAGAGAAACGTACCCTCTCTTCTACTGTGAGGGTAAAAGAATATCTTGATTGTCTGAACATTAACAATCCTTTATTAGACTGTCATGGAATTAATTGACTTGGAAGAGAACTCAGAGATCATCTAGTCCAACTCATTTGGAAGAGGTATCACTTTCAAATCACATGAAGTACTAGTTCCCCTGTCATCAGCACTAGTCAGACCCCATCTAAAGTTCTGTGTCCAGTTCTGGGCACCAGAGTTTAAGAAAGATGCAGAAAGGCTGGAAAGGATTCAGAGGAAGGCTGCAAAGATGATCTACAGTCTGGGGAAAAAAGCTGTATGAGGAGAGATTGAGAGAACTGGGCACATTCAGCTGACGGGAGATAGGATAACACTGTGCAAGTACTTGAAAGGCTATCACAAAGGAGGACAGGATCTCTTCTGGATCATCCCAGAATGCAGGACATGGAACAATGGACTGAATGGACAGCAAGCCATATTCCAGCTAGAAACCAGGAAAACAAGAACCTATTACCTAAGGATGTTGTGGGCTCTCCCACACAAGAGGCATCCAAGAAGCAACTGGACATTAAACTGAGTGGGATTGTGTAATAATCGGTGCCCTGTAACAGCAGGGCGTTGGACCCGATGGCCTCCTTGGCTCCTTCCAATTCTACTGTTCTATGATTTTGTGAAGCCCATGTAGGCCCTGCAGTGCAGGGATGCAGCTACTACCCCAACAGAAGGACATCTGCTTCAATAGATCCAGTGAAGGAAGCGCCGCCTTGATGCACCTTCGTAGTGTATGAACAGTTGCTGCTTTGAATGGCCTATTTTTATGAACTTTAAACTTAAAGCAGCACACAAGTTAGGACATAAGTTGTCAGATATCCAATCTGGGAGTGTCTGTGTCAGGTTTGACGCATAGATCAGGAAATACCCCTTGTCATAAGGAACAAGTAGCAAGTAGAAGGGAAATGGCTCTACGTATCTGAGGCTTATTCCCCTGCCATATCTGAAAATAGGATACTGGGCTGAAAATAAAAGGCAGTGTAAAATAAAGTCAAAATTTATGAAAGACTATAGGATTTGGCACATGCTCAGGTTTGCTCTCATCCTGATTGCATCTTTGGTGGTTTTGCTGGTTTCAGTTATGCTGGAAAAAATCTAGAAAATTTCTCAGGTTCATCTCTCTGAAGTCTGTGCCTAAACATGGCATAGTGAGAAGTAATTTTGGTTCAAAACGGGTTTTTCCCCCCTCAAAATCTGTTGATTTCATCCTTCACAAACGGAACTCTGCATAGAACTGTTTGATGCTGCTCCGCTGCATGAGTCGGGGCGCCCAAGATCTTAAAGAACTACAACTCCCGTCATGCCTCTCTTTCGCCTTCGTGATCTTCAAAGCGGGAGGCGAAGATACCAGTATGCCCTGCGGTTGAACGCTACTTTAAACCTAGACTGTGGAATGATTTCGAGGGCTATGCAGTCAGAAGTTCTGACTACCCATAGTAAACAATTGAGAAATTCAGGTTTATTTTGGTTTTTTTTTTTCCCTTTTAGCGTCGTTATAATTTAGCAGCCCGTTCCTTGTTTTGTTCCTTGGAGCAAAAGATAGCAGCAAAGTCAGGCATTCTTTCTATCTGAGGTCTTATTTATAAATTTTAATTGCTAAGCGCTTCGAGCTGCACAGCATCTGCGGGCGTGTCAACGAAAATAGGGTCTTTGGCATGCAACTGACCACAGGATTTGGGCTAGGAGGAGCTGCACGGAAGTAACTGGAAGAGCTCGCTGTAAACCGAGGGAGGAAATCTGTTTTCCCTGGGCAGGTCTGTCCTGGGCTGGTAATTCAAAAAAACCTACAATGTTAACATTGAACTACATCGAAGGGTTTTCGTGCAAGCTCCAGGCACACTCCGGTCTGCAGAACTGGAATGCTGTACTGCAGAGATACCGACACATTTTAAAAAGTCATTAAAATGATTTCTGACACGAGACAAAAACCGAGAGCATGCAGCGCGGTGAAGGAAAGTACAGGCGCTGCTGGCCAACTGCAGCAAAGTCTGTCATTATTTTTTCCGACTGCCTTATATTCCACTGGCGTGCAGCGAGGGGCGAAACAGCCTCACGAGGTCCCGTGTTCATCTCTAGTTGCCCGAGGCCGGTACTTTTGCCATTGCAGTCCAAGCTTAACGCCATCGGTTTCACCCTCGCACCCCCAGCCCGCCCACACTCTTCTTCCACCGCGCCTGGGATCCCTTTAGCCTTCTGTGCCGCTGAACTCCGCTTGAGTTCGGCGGGGACGATGCAGGAATAGCGCCTGCTGCGTTCTCCATCAGAAATCACGAGGACTTCAGCCTTGTGGCCGAGCCGTCCCCACTCCAATTTTCCTGCAGTTCAACTTGACCTGAACGCGCTATGCTTCCAAAAGAGGAAGCGGACTGCGCCCAAATAAACGGCTTCGGCCTTTCGCAGCTTTTCCTGCGGCCACGCCGACAGATTGGTACCGCCGCTCTACCCTTTTCCTAGCTCTAGTCGTCGGGCGGTTCCCAGCCGCCACGGAAAATTGGGAGACTACAACTCCCAGAAGCCCTTGTTTTGCCGGGGGAGGGGGAGTCCGATCGAGGAAGTAGCGCCTCGGAGGGGCGAGCGCTTGCTGGGTAGCGTCGGCCGTCCCGCCGCCGGCAAGTGCGGGGCGCGGCGAGGCGCGGCGCGGCGCGGCGGCGGCGGCCTTCGGGGCTGGGCGGGCGCGACCCGGAGCTCGCTCGCTCGCGTGGCGCGTTCGCACGGACTCGGGTTCTCCTGCGCGCCGGCGGTGACCGGGAGGCCCTCCCTTCCTCCTTCCCCGGCCTGGGGTAGGCAGCGGCGAGCGCCATGAACCTGGAGCGGGTCTCCAACGAGGAGAAGCTCAACCTCTGTCGGAAGTACTACCTGGGTGAGTGCGGGCGTCGCCGGCGGTTCTCCCGGGGGAGGCGGGCCGGGCCGGGCCGGGCCGGGCCGGGGCAAGGGGCGCTCGCCTGCCCGCCCCGCAGGCGGCTCGGCCGGTTGCCCTGCCGGCGCCGGTCTCGCTCAGGCCAGGCCAGGCCAGGCTAGGGGAGGTGGGCTCCCGGGCGGCCGGGGAGCGGGGCCTTCGCGTGGGCGTCGCACCGCCACCCAGCTCAGAGCCGGTGACCGTCCGAGGATGTGCGCTGCGCTGGGAAGCAACCTGGTGTAATTCTGGTGCCGAAAAGGCCTTACCTGTGGTAAGGACGCTTCTGCCTCTGTTTCTTTTGTGCAGTGCTGAAGAGAATGGTTGTATTTTTTATCATTAGACTGGCCTGAATGCAGCTGGACCAGCTCCATGGCTGTGCGGGGAGTTGAATTTGGGTCTCTGTGACCCTATCTTAAAGTTCAAATCTAGGGGTGGGGAACCTCTGGGCTTCCACATGTTTAGTGGGTTACAGCTCCCATCATCCTTCAGCACTGGCTATGCTGGCATTGATGGGAGTTGGAATTCAGCAACATATGGAGGGCCATACCTTCCTGACGCCCTGTTGCAATCATTATGCAAATATCCAGATCTCTAAGAAAGTAGTAAAACAGATGGGTTGAAATTAGCATCAGTTTGGTTTTCTGGCACTGCTTTTCCCAAATGTACTGCTTAGGAACTTGATTCTGTTTAGGAGGTATGTGAATAGAGAAATGCATAGAATTTATGGATTTCCACAGTAGTGAGAACTGTGAGTGAGACAGTCAGACCGAGAATAAATTACTATTTTTGGTGCTGCTGGAAACATAGTTCTATGTAGTTTCTTAATATATTTTTTTCTTAGAAAACGCATCAGATAAGTGTTCTCTTGGGTGCTTGCTTTTTCACTATTTCACACCATATTAACAGAAAGCTTGGGACATCCTTAGCAGGAAAAATGCTGATGGCCCATTGAGTAATCTCGGTTTCCCATCCTTCCAGGTGGCTTTGCTCTGCTTCCTTTCCTCTGGCTGGTGAATGTGTTCTGGTTTTTTCGAGAGGCCTTTTTCGTGCCAGCATATACTGAACAGCTACAGATCAAGCGCTGTGAGTAATTTATTGGGGTGGGGGATGGGAAATGAGAGAAGGAACACCTAGCAAATAATACGCTGTTCGCTAGAGAAGGGCGTGGGTCTCTGTCTTGGGCAAAGTCTGTGCAGCTCAGCTCCCAAAGGGGGGGAGAGCCTTGCACTGCTGGGAGTGAATTAAGCTCTTGAGGTTTACTCTCCTTCCTTTCAACCTTTTCTCTTCCCAGATGTCCAGCGTTCAGCCGTGGGTCTTTTCTTCTGGGTGGTTGCGCTCACCACGTGGATCAGCATCTTCCAGGCACGCCGGGCCCAGTGGGGCGAGATTGGCGACTACCTCTCCTTCACCATCCCCCTGGGCATCCCTTGATGAACCTCTCTTGCCTATGATGATCCAGCACGAAGCTTTAACTTCTTTCCTGGCGGACTCCCTGAGCAGCCTGTGGGCTGTTTTGCTGATCTCTCCTTTTATGGAACCAGGGAGGGATTGTGCCATGGTGAACTGTCCTGGGGGCTGCTGCTCCCCTATGTTCCTCCAGAATCCTCCATTCGCTCTGCCTTGAATGCAGCCTCTTCTGAAGGCAATCAATAAACTTGGGCTTCTCTGCTCCTGGTGTGCCTGTCGTGTGATGGTATTAGGAGAAAGTGGAATGGGGAGAAGATGGTTCTGCTCAGTGTCCCCCTCCCATGTGTGCGGGGTTTGCACCAAGTGTGTGGCTTAGCACTGGTTCCAAGGGACCAAACCAGGGTCAAAATGCCACGCAGAAAACTCACTGAAATCTGCATGCATAGCTTGCTCAAACTCTCTGCCCAATGATGCTGTACAGCAAGACAGATTCAGCACCTCCTCTGGCCCTCCTGGTGTTCTACACTAGGTTTTCGGGTTCCTTGGTGGCCATGTGTCCTGTCCCCTTTTCCCTGACTGCTGATTGCTAGCTGATATTTTATACTGATAATTTATAGTGGCTTTGCAACCACTCACCTCTGAAATGCAGCCCCTGAGAGCATCCCCAAAATTGAATTCGGTCCTTTAGCTGGAAGAGGCTAGCTAAAGGTTGCTGTAAAGGATTTTTATTTTAAAAAAATAATTTTATTCAACTCTAAAAAAAATAGGCAAAAATTTGAAGAAAAATAGATAGGAAGTACAAGACAGATGTATAGTAAAGAAGAAGAGATTATATAACCAAGTGTTTTTATGGGACTTTGGGGTTCTGCTGGAGCAACAGGCTAAAGCAGCTAGTCCTCCGACCTTTAATCTGGACAAACCCATTTTTTATGGGGCACCCTTTGTGGTACTAACAGTTTTCCACTAGGAGGCAGTCTACTTTGCATCTGTGTAAAACAGATGGGTGCTGTTTTAAAAGAGAAAGTTACGTCTGCTTTCGCTGATCTGCCTCGTGACAGAACCTGTACTGGGTGTACTGTATTCCTGCCCCAACTCAGTCAAATCTCGCTTGGCACAACCTTGCATGACATCATGTCCCTTGGCAAGCCGACCCCGTCATCCATACCGAAGAGTGGTGGAGGTGCTCTGGTAGACATGTCAGTGCATAAATGTTGCTGTTGATCTTTCCTCTTCGTGTGCATTCATATATTTAAGAATGGAGCCAGAAAATGGCCAGGAGAGAGATTTCCCCTGCCCCTAGCGGTAGCAACTAGCACGGCACAGTATACAGTTTTGGCAACCAGGTAATCCGAGACATTTGGTGAGGAAGCTCCTTCCTTGGTCCCGTTAACCAGTGCTGAACATCTCTGAAGGGGACCAAGTTGCCAACTCCTGCTTTAGCCTTTGAGACACATTTTTGGCACAGTAGGTCAAGCTTTAAAGTGGCATTAGGCTGTTTGGGTTTGCAGAAACAGTTCTCAAGCCATGCCAAATGTTTTTGAAGTGTGTCACCTGCCTGGGCAGCATCTGCCTTAGCATGCCCCAGAATTCTCTGCAAAGCCCAGGAGATTCTCAGTACCAAAGGTAACATTGAATGGGTTCCCTTAAAGTCAAAATTGCAAGCATCTGTTCTCCATCCAGCAGTTTCTCACTCTTCTTGTGTAAACTTCCACTTACCTCTCCCCACCTGCTCTTAGCCCTTCTGCTGCCTTATTTGGTTCAATGGCTGTAATACCGGGCTGTCTTCAGCAAGTCCATTGTAGAGAAAAATCCTTATTCCTGTTAATGGGGCTTGAGTACAATAGTAGAGTAAACATACGATGGTAGTAAATATACAATAGTAGAGTTGGAAGGGTCCAAGAAGGCCACCGGATTCAACCCCCTGCTGTTGTAGGACACCAATTTGCCCCATCCCACTCAGATGGCTGTCCAGTTCCTTTTTGAATATCTCTAGTATGGGAGAACCCACCACCTCTCCAGGCAGCTGTTTCCACTGTTGTACTTCTCTGACAGTGAGGAAATTGTTTGTGATATTTATTTATTTATTTATTTAGGGAACTTCTATGCCGCCCCATTTGCCGAAGCCTCAGGGCGGCTCACAAACATAAATAACATCCTATAAAACAATATAATTTAACAGTATAAATTAAGTCGCCCTGGCCAAAGAATAAAATAAATAAAAAATATTAACAATTAAAATAACGTTTGAATGAAAAGGTCTTCGCCTGGCGCCGAAAAATAATGACGGCGCCAAGCAGACCTCTCTGGGGAGCGCATTCCATAGATTGGGCACCACCGCAGAGAAAGCCCTCCTCCGGGTACTTACACTCCTAATATCCTTCATGGAGGGTTCCGGGAGAAGGGCCTCTCCTGCTGATCTCAAGGGGCGGGCGGGCATGTATGGACATAAGCGCTCCTTCAGGTAACCAGGACCCAAGCCGTTAAGGGCTTTATAGGTCATCACCAACACTTTGAATTGGGCCCGGACTTCAATGGGAAGCCAGTGAAGCTGACGGAGGACTGGAGTCATGTGAACATAACGCCCAGTCCCCATCAGCAGCCTGGCAGCTCTATTTTGAACCAATTGACATATCTGGACCATCTTCAAGGGCAGCCCCACGTAGAGCGCGTTACAGAAGTCAAGTCAGGAAGTCACCAACGCGTGTGTCACTGTCGCCAGGCAGTCGTTCTCCAGGTAGGGGCGCAGCTGATGGATCAGCCAAAGCTGAAAGAAAGCGCTCCTCGCCAACGCTGTCACCTGAGCTTCCAGTGAAAGCTCTGGGTCGAGGAGCACTCCCAAGCTACGGACCTTGTCCCTAAGAGGGAGTGCAGCCCCATTCAGGACTAGGTTCAATTCACCTTCCCCGAAGCCCGATCCGCTAACCAACAGGACCTCCGTCTTGTCTGGATTGAGCTTCAGTTTATTGGCCCTCATCCAGCCCATTACCTCAGTCAGGCACCGGTTCAGCACAGCCACTGCCTCACCTGGATTGGTGGAGAACGAGAGGTAGAGCTGGGTATCATCAGCGTACTGATGATTCCGCAGCCTACACCTCCTGATGACCTCTCCCAGCAGTTTCATGTAGACATTATACAGCAAAGGGGATAAAATGGATCCCTGCAGTACTCCATGGCATAGCTGCCATGGCGCAGAGCCATAGTCCCCCAGCACCACCTTCTGGAATCGGCCATTGAGATAGGAGCGGAACCACTGCAAAGCAGTGCCTCCGACCCCCAATCCCGCTAGCCTATCCAGAAGGATACCATGGTCGATGGTATCGAAAGCCACTGAGAGGTCCAGAAGAACCAACAGAGACGCACTCCCCCTGTCCTTCTCCCTACACAGGTCATCGTACAGGGCTACCAAGGCAGGTTCAGTACCATACCCGGGTCTGAAGCTGGACTGAAATGGGTCCAGATAATCAGTTTCATCTAAGAGTGCTTGGAGTTGTCCCGCCACCACCCGCTCCAACACCTTGCCCAGAAACGGGATGTTGGCCACTGGTCTATAATTAGTGGCCATCTCTGGATCCAGTGACACTTTTTTCAGGACCGGTCGGACTACCACCTCCTTTAAAGGGGCAGGTACCCAACCCTCTCTCAGAGAAGTGTTAACCACTTCCAAGATCCAGGTCCCAATCCCGTGCTTGGTGTTGTTTATTAACCAAGATGGGCAAGGTCCAATAGGCAAGTGGTGGGACGTACTTGTCCAAGCACCTTGTCCACATCATCAGGCTGCAATAACTGAAATTCATCCATTAATTTTGGACCAGACGGCGACATTGGTATCTCCCCAGAAGCCTCTGAATCACTAGTAGAGTCACGCTCGTGATGAATCTGAGCGATTTTCTCCCTGAAATGCTTGGCAAAGTCTTCACCGCGGGCCTTCAAGGGTGGAACGAGATCTTTCTTAGGGCCAGGATGGACCAGCCCTTGTCTAGCCTGAATTTGGTTTGTCGCAACTTGAGCTGATATACTCCAGTTGTATAGAGCATAATGTATCTCTGAGCAGTTTCCATACAGAAATTAAGCCCCTGCTGAAAGCAATAAGCAGTTAGAACAACAGCGAAACTAAATGAAAGAAGCAGGACACTGGAGCAGGGTCATGGTGCCCAGTTACAAGCCAGAGGAAGCTTGTGTAAGCTATGTGCCTTTCAGACATACCCTCTTTCTCACCTGCTAACACACGGGGAGGGTGTCCCAGAAGGCGGGGCGGGCGCTACTCCCAAGGGCTTCTTCTGAATTGTTATGCAACAACCAGTACAACACTTGGCAAAGCCCTGAGGAGCACAAGGTCAAGAATCTCAGCCTGAGAGTGGAATTCAATTTCAAAGAAGTGCTTGATGGCTGGGCGACCGCAGTGGGTGGGAGCGAAGACAAGGGCTGGAGCTAATCCAAGGCATCCCAACCCATTTTAGCTGAGATGCCTTATTGCCAGGAACTGGCCCCAAAGGGCATTTCAACCCTCTGGAACAGGAAAAACAGCAAAAAAGCCAGGAAAGCAGATTTGGGTGGAAGAAGGTGGGGACACTTCTGGGGAACTCTGCGGGGGTTGGATTTAGACCTGGAGCTGAGCTCTCCTCCAGTACAGGGAAAGGTGGTGTGCCGTGTAATTCTGAGTAATTTAAAGCTTTGTATGTCAGTAACAAAACCTGGAATATAGTTTGGTAGCTGACAGGCAGCCCATTTTCAAGTTGTACTTAATTCAGTGAAGTAATATGCATGTTGATTTGGTTCTGAGATGTTCAAGAATGTCGTGGAGCCTGCACAGAATCCTCGTGCCACCCACTTCCTCCTCCCATGGAACATAATTCAGCTGCCTCCGGCCGCTCCTCCCAGAGTCCCCCTTTCCATTTTGTGGTCTTAGACGAACACTCGGCAGGGCTGCTTTTGCAGCGCTCGTCCAATGCGATGGAAACATTAAACTTAACAAAGTCTTCCTGGCAGGGCTAGGAGGAGTTATGGTCTGTGTGCTGAGCTGCTGTTTAAAAGGCCAGGAAAAGGAGTGGGGGAAGCTGGGAGAGTGTCTTTTGTAGCTCAGTCTTTTATAACTCTGACTGATGAGGACTTGAGATGAGAACGTGATAAAAAGACTGGGCCAGCAATGAGTCTAAGGCTCCTCTGAGCCACTTGTCTTGGCCTGCAGCCTCCACACGTCAATCTGGGAAGCTTGTTACAGCCAAATCTGTTCTCAGCCTTTGGTGGTAGCTCAGAGTGGGGTGG